CTTAGTTATTGTAAATAGTGCTGCTACAAACATGGGGGTATATATATTCTTTCTGACTGGTTTTTCAGGCTTCTTAGGATATATTGCTAGAAGTGGGATCACTGGGTCAAATGGCAGTTCAATTTTCAATTTTTTGAACAAACACCATATTGTTTTCCATAGTGGCTGCACCAGTCTGCATTCCCACCAGCAATGTACTAGAGTCCTCTTTTCTCCACACCCTCGCCAGCACTTGTTTGATGATTTGTTGATAGCAGCCATTCTGGCAGGTATGAGGCAATACCTCATAGTCATTTGAATTTGCATCTCTCTGATGATTGGTGACTTTGAGCATTTCTTTATATGTCTCTTGGCCATTTGTATGTCCTGTTTGGAGAGGTGTCTATTTAGGTCCTCTGACCTTTTTTTTATCCTCACCTAAAGACATTTTTGCATTTATCTTCATATAGAGCAGGAGAGAAAGAGGGAGGAAAAGAGAGAGAAAAACATTGATGTGAGAGAGACACATCGACTGGTTGCCACCCACACGACCCCAACTGGGGCCGGGAACAAATTGCAACCAAGGTACATGCCCTTAGCAGGAACCAAACCTGGGTCTCTCTGATCCGCAGGCCCACACTCTAATCGCTGAGTCAAACCGTCCAGGCCCTCTGACCATTTTTTAAATTGGAATCTGTCTTCCTTTTGTGGAGTTGTATGAGTACTCTTTATATTTTGGAAATCAAACCCTTATCTGATGTATCATTGGTAATTATGCTCTCCCACATAGTGGGTTCCCTTTCTTTCCATTTTGATGCTTGTTTCTTTTGCTGTACAGCAGTTTTTTAGTTTGATGTAGTCTCATGTGTTCATTTTTTCCTTTGTTTCTCTTGCCTTAGGCGTGAAAATTCTGCTGCATGTGATGTCTAAAATTTTGTTGCCTACATTTTCTTCTAGGATTTTTATGGATTCATGAGTCACATTTAAGTCTTTTATCCATTTTGAGTTTGTTCTTGTGTATGGTGTTAGTTGGTAGTCTAGTTTCATGTTTTTTGTATGTAGCTGTCCAGTTTTCCCAGCACCGTTTATTAAAGAAGCTGTCCTTACTCCACTGTATGCTCTTGCCACCTTTGTCAAATATTAATTGAGCATAATGTCTTGGGTCAATTTCTGGGTTCTCTGTTCTGTTCCATTGATCTATATGCCTATTCTTGTGCCAGTACCAGGCTGTTTTGATTACAGTGGCTTTGTAGTATAATCTGATATCCAGTATTGTGATCCCTCCTACTTTGTTCTTCTTTTTTGTTTCCATATAAACTTTTGAAGTATTTGTTTTAGTTTTGTGAAATATGTCAGTGGTGTTTAGATGGGGATTGCATTGAATCTATAGATTGCTTTGGGTAGTATATTTATCGACTTTTAGAGAGAAAGGAAGGGAGGGAGGGAGAGAGAGAAACATCTATGTGAGGGAGAAACATCAATCAGTTGTCTCCCGTTTACACCCAGACTGGAACTTGAACCCACAAGTTCCACAAGTTAAGTATGTACCCTGACTGGAAATAGAACCCACAACCTTTTGGTGTATAGGACAACACTCCAACAAACTGAGCCCCTTGGCCAAGGCATCTTTTTAATGATCATAGTATTCCATGGATGTACCATGATTCACTCTACCATCCCTCTAGGTGGAAATTGAGGCAATTTCCAATTTTCTACTACCTTGTACTTTTTATACATGCTGCCATAGACACTATGTTTCTAGAGGGACAGATGGACAGATGATCTTCAGTGGGAATAAGTGATAAGTCCTGTCTGTGTTATTGCAAAAGCAGGAGCCACAGATAGCTAACCAGCTAGAGGGTTTAGTCCACAAGCTGATGCAGAATAACTGCGGGCAAATATTGCTCTTGTTTTAGTTCTTGCTAGCTCATCCACATGGCTTAGCTGAGGCAAGCCTTCTGCACAACTCTGAGGCACTTAGAAAAGAAATAAAGCCACAGATGTCTCCTCTCCCTACCCCCCAAAAGAGAGAGATGGTTCCAGTCTCTCTGCTTTAGCTCCAGCCAACCCCTCTCCCACCCAACCCCCACTCCTCATCCAAGAGATGTTTTTTATGATTCTGGGGCTGTAACATAATACATATATAATTGTGCCACTTAGTAACAGAAATGAGTTCGGAGAAATGCATTGTTATGTGATTTCGTCATTGTGTAAACATCATAGCGTGTACTTACACAAACCTAGATGGTACCTAGGCTGCATGGTATACCACCATAGTATATACAGTTGGTCCTTGACCAAAAGATTGCTATGAGGTATATGACTGTATTTTGTCTTTGTTCCCAGATCCTGGCACATAGCTCCTAAAACCCTTGGAATTTCCAGCATGATAAGAGTTTCTTTTGTATGATAATGATATAACTGGTTGCTGGTGGCCCCTAGATAACTTAAGGATGAGGGACAGATGCCAAAAAAACCAAGGCATGATTAATCAGTAGAAAACTTTCACCCACCTCCAGGAGGAGAGAGGGGCTGGAGTTTGAATTAGTCCCCAATGGCCAATTACTTAATCAGCCATGCCTAGCTAATCAAGCCTCAGTAAAATCCCCTACATGGTGACTGGGGTGTGGAGAGCTTCCAGGTGCCAGGAGGATGATGCACCCCAACTCCACGGGGACAGAAATCCAGTGCTCAGGATCCTTCTGGGCCTCGCTCCATATAGCTCTTTGGCTGTTCATCTGTATCCTTCATCATATCTTTTATAATAACCAGTGTGTGGTTTTTGAAAGAAGCTCTTCGGAACATCAGCATTATCCTGTTTGCCCTCCTCGGGGCCCAGTAGGCTCCACAGCAAAATGCAAACGGGATTTATAATAACCAGTAAGAGTAAAGCAATTCCCTGATTCTAGCAAACTGTCAGCCTGAAGAGGGGGTTGTGAGAACCCTTGATTTATAGACAGTTGGTCAGAAATATGGGAGGCCCAGAACTTGCAGCTGGTATCTCAAGCAGGAGCAGTCTTGTGGGACTGAGCCCTCGATCTGTGGAGTCTGTGCTAACTCGGGTAGAGTGTCCAAACTGAATGGAAGGCCACCCAGTTGGTGTCCAGCAAGATGGAGAACTGGTTAGTGCAGAAAACCGCACACTAGGTGTTAGAGTGGTGTTTCAAAGCACAACATAGGTGCTTTCTCTTCGGATAGATACAGCTTACTAGGTGTGATATGGTTGGCTTCTCAGCTGGGCAGGTCCTCGGCCCTGTTCTGGGTAAGTTGGACCAGAAGAGTCGGATCTGTGAGTGTGATCATGTTGCCAAATGGGGTAGGAATGCAGACTGTGACTGGGCTTGAGTGTGGAGTTTCTCCCCAACATCCTTCACTTCACTCTCTCGCTGACCATCCATCAGCTCCTCCTGCCCGTGTCTGGGACTTTTGTTCAGAAGGGGGTGAGGGTGTTATCTCTAAATGGTTTATTTCCTTCTGAGACCCAGGCTGAGGAGAGGGGATCAAATACTATTTTTTTCTTTTAATTTTTTTTATTTTAGAGAGGGAGGAAGAGGAGAAGGGAGAGAGAGGGAAAGACATCATTGAGAGAGAGATGCATTGATCGGTTGCCTCCTGTTTGTGCCCTGCTGAAATCAAACCTGTGACCTGCCGGTGCACAGGATGATGCTACAACCAACTGAGCCACACAGGCCAGGACATTATTTCGTTCAATTGCTTTATTTTCAGGAGACGGGTTTAATAAATCTGGATCCTTCTCATAGGTGCTAAGGGACCTTTTGATTTATGTACAATACACTTGGCTTGAGAAGTAAATGCCATATGAAAGGTTGGTTGGTTAAAGGCAAAGGGAGTTGGGGAGGGAGCAGTCTGAGCCTTCCTGAGTTTACTAAAAGCAGTGACTTAATTTTTTCTCCTCTGTTCTACATGCGAGGTGATTAATTTAAACTCTTCACACCCTGTTACTAAATAACAGGCACAGTTGGGTTTGCAGGCCAGCATGTTCCCAGTGGCAGCCGCTCACCCATGAACACTTCTGGAAGGGCTCAGCGTCCTGGTCAAACTCCAGATGCATTGCAAAGCCACAGGCCATGTCACTGAGATGCCGCCCGGCTGCACACTGACTTAATTAGTGAGCGACTATCAGGGCAGGAAGTTCCCGATGGCATCTGGTGGAACCAGAGCCATCACTGCCACCAACAAGGAGAACTGGGGTCAGATCTGGAGCTAAATCCCAGCCTTGTCTCATATGGCAGAGAAATGACTGATGGCTCCGTTCCTGACTGTGATGTGACATTACCTGAGTTGTCTGCTGAGCACACAAAGGGACAGTGTGCAGGAACGCTAAGCACAGTACTCAGTATCAGGCAGGTGCTCATTAGATATCAGTTCCCTCCGTAGTGCTGAGACCACAGGGACACAGAAGATGGTTAAGATGAGGGGCTTGGGGCTGTTTCACTGGTCTAGAAAGAGAAAATTTGGCGACAGGTCTTTACTGCCCAACCTGAGTACATTCTGGAACCAGGACTGTTGTGGCTGGAGGTAAACTACACAATGTGCGCGTCACCATCCCAGGTCCTCTTGGTCCACTCACAGCACAGTGGCTGCGGAAAGATGCGGCTGCCTGTCAAGGTGACGTACTCAGAGGTGGGCGTCCGTCCCCAACCCTCCATGCTTCTTTTCGGAATTAAATAGAGGTCGAGCCACTCATTAGGTAACTGAACCCTTTCTGGGACTATTCTGGTTACCTTTGGATCCACTAAACTTTCATTGTTTTCCCCAAACCTCCTCTGAATTTAAGAAGGCTCCTTTCTCCTCCCTCCCTTTCAGTTCTCCCCAAGCGGGAGGGGTTGGCTGGAGGAGACGGAGCTACACTGTGAAGCATTTTCCCTGCACGGCCACACTGGCGCTGGAGATGCCGTGGTCTCACTTGGTTTAATGATCAATTTATCCCTGCCAGGAAGTCCTATTTGACCCAGCTTGGCCTCCATTCCCTTAGACTCAGAGAAGGCACCCGCTGCAGGATGGCGGTGGACAACTCCACCAGCAACCCTCACGCCCCTAGCTTGCAGCTGAGAGTGGCCGACATCGTCATCATCACCGTGTACTTTGCTATGAACGTGGCCGTGGGCATATGGGTGAGAGGACTGCGCTGGGGTTGGGAACCGGGCGGCACGTCCCTGCAGCATCTGCATCGTCTCCCCACGCGGCTGGTGCCCACTGGGGCCCTGCTCCCAGTCCTGGGGTAGATTGGTCAGGGACCTTACCAATTTCCTTTCTCTCCTTGGGCAATACATTTTCCATCCACAAAGTGAGGAAGAGGAAGATCTCTCTAAGGCACAAGGGTTATGGGAAGCTCATTGGGCGTGTATAGGGCTGGAGGTCTGGATGCAGTATGTCGTCTTCCTGGCTTCTCCTCCATGTCGATGGACTCACGGGGTGAACATCTACCTGAACAATAGAATCAGAGGTTCTTGGCTGTATGTCACACCCGCCGGGTCAGAATCCAGAGGTAGAGAGGGGCACTTGGTGCCTGGCTATCTTTGATTCTTTTTTTTTTTTTTTAATTTTTTTTAAATTAATTAATTAATTTGTTTTTTGGTTACAGATATTTCTCCTTTTTTACCCCATTGGTACCCCAGTCCCCACCCCACACCCGCCCCGTTCCGGCTTTGTTGTCCATGTCTATTGGTTATATATACATGCATATAAGTTCTGTGGTTTATCTCTTCCCACCACCCACCCCCTCTTCTGATGGATGTCAGTCTGTGCCCTACTTCCATGTTTCTGGGTCTACCATATTCCTCAGACTGTTATGTTCGTTATATACCATATATAAGTGAGATCATGTGGTATTTGTCTTTTTCTGCTTGGCTTAGTTCACTTAGGATAATACTTTCCAGGTCGCTCCATGTCGTCTCAAGGATAAGAGATCTTTCTTTCATACAGCTGCATAGTACTCCATTGTATATATGTACCACAGCTTTTTTATCCATTCTTCTACTGATGGACACTTGGGCTGTTTCCAGATCTTAGCGATTGTAAATAGCGCTGCTATGAACATGGGGGTACATATATTATTTCTGATTGGTGTTTCAGGCTTCTTAGGGTATATTCCTAGAAGCGGGATCACTGGGTCAAATGGCAGTTCAATTTCTAATTTTTTGAGGTAACACCATATTGTTTTCCACAGCGGCTGCACCAGTCTGTATTCCCACCAGCAGTGGACTAGAGTCCCCTTTTCTCCACACCCTCGCCAACACTTGTTGTTTGATGATTTGTTGATGGTGGCCATTCTGACAGGTGTGAGGTGATACCTCATTGTTGTTTTAATTTGCATCTCTCTGATGATTAGTGATGTTGAGCATTTCTTCATATATCTCTTGGCCATTTGTATGTCCTGTTTGGAGAGGTGTCTATTCAGCTCCTCTGCCCATTTTTTAATTGGATTCTTTGTCTTCCTTTTGTTGAGTTGTATGAGCACTCTATATATATTGGAAATTAACCCCTTATCTTATATATCATTGGCAATGATGTTCTCCCATACAGTGGGTTGCCTTTCCATTTTGATGATTGTTTCTTTTGCTGTGCAGAAGCTTTTTAGTTTGATGTAGTCCCACGTGTTCATTTTTTCCTTTGTTTCTGTTGCCTTAGGTGATGTATCAGTGAAATTCTGCTTCATATAATGTCCGAAATTTTGTTGCCTACATTTTCTTCTAGAATTTTTATGGATTCACGGGTCACATTTAAGTCTTTTATCCATTTTGAGTTTATTTTTGTGCATGGTGTAAGTTGATGGTCTAATTTCATTTTTTTGAAGGTAGCTGTCCAATTTTCCCAACACCATTTAATAAAGAGGCTGTCTTTTTTTTTTTTTTTTTATCCTCACCTGAGGACATTTTTCCACTTTTTGTTCAGGTAGAGTGAGAGGAAGATAGAGAGAGAGAAGCATCGACGTGAAAGGGACACATCGAGTGGCTGCCACCCACACGACCAACCAGGGCCAGGGACAAACTGCAACCGAGGTACATGCCCTTAGCGGGAACCGAACCCGGGTCTCTCCGGACCGCAGGCCGACGCTCTAACCGCTGAACCAAACCGGCCAGGGCTAAAGAGGCTGTCTTTACTCCACTGTATGTTCTTGCCACCTTTGTCAAATATTAATTGAGCATATTGCCTTCGGTCCATTTCTGGGTTCTCTGTTCTGTTCCACTGGTCTATATGCCTGTTCTTGTGCCAGTACTAGGCTGTTTTGATTACAGTCGCTTTGTAGTATAACCTGATATCTGGTATTGTGATCCCACCTACTTTGTCCTTCGTTTTCAAAATTGCTGTGGCTATTCGGGGACTTTTTTGGTTCCATGTGAACTTTTGAAGTATTTGTTCTACTTCTGTGAAATATGTCATTGGTATTTTGATGGGGATTGCATTGAATCTATAGATTACTTTGGGTAGTATTGACATTTTAATGATGTTAATTCTTCCAATCCATGAACAAGGTATGTGCTTCCACTTTTTTATATCTTCCTCTATTTCTTTTTTCAATGTCCTGTAGTTTTCTGCAAATAGGTCCTTTACTTCTTTGGTTAAGTTTATTCCTAGGTATCTTAATTTTTTGCCGCAATGGTAAAAGGGATTGTTTTTTCAGTTTCTCTTTCTGTGAGTTCATCATATCTTGACGTTAATTTTGTATCCTGCTACTTCGCCAAATTCATTTATTAAGTCTAGTAAATATTTCATGGAGTCTTTAGGGTTTTCTATGTATAATATCATGTCATCTGCAAATAATGACAGTTTCACTTCCTCCTTTCCAATTTGGATCCCTTTTATTTTTTCTTCCTGTCTGATTGCTGTGGCTAAAACTTCCAGTACTATGTTAAATAAGAGTGGCGAAAGTGGACATCCATGTCTTGTTCCTGTTCTTAATGGAAATGCTTTTAGTTTCTGCCCATTGACTATGATGTTGGCTGTAGGTCTTTCATATATGGCCTTTATTATGTCGAGATATGATCCCTCTATTCCCACATTGCTGAGCGTTTTTATCAGAAATGGATGCTGGATTTTGTCGAATGCTTTTTCAGCATCTATTGAAATTATGATGTGATTTTTATTCTTCATTTTGTTTATGTGGTGTATCACATTTATTGATTTGTGAATATTGTACCAGCCTTGCATCCCTGGAATGAATCCCACTTGGTCATGGTGAATAATTTTTTTGATGTGTTGTTGGATCCGATTGGCTAGTATTTTGTTCAGGATTTTGGCGTCTATGTTCATCAGTGATATTGGCTTGTAGTTTTCTCTCTTGGTTGTGTCCTTTTCTGGTTTTGGAATTAGAATTATACTGGCCTCATAAAACGTGTTTGGAAGTCTTCCTTCTTCTTGAATTTTTTGAAATAGTTTGTGGAGAATGGGTGTTAGTTCTTTTTTGAATGTTTGGTAAAACTCCTCCGTGAAGCCATCTGGGCCTAGGCTTTTGTTTACTGGGAGAGTCTTGATTACCTCTTCAATTTCCTTAGTTGTTATTGGTCTGTTCAAGTTTTCTATCTCTTCCTGGTCCAGTTTTGGGAGACTGTGTGTTTCTAGAAATTTGTCCATTTCGCTTAGATTGTCGAATTTGTTGCCATATAGTTGTTCATAGTAGCTTTTAACCATCTTTTGTATTTCTGTGGTGTAGGTTGTTACTTCTCTTTCATTTCTGATTTTGTGTATTTGGGTTCTCTCTCTCTGTTTCTAGTGAGTCTAGCTAGGGGTCCATCAATCTTGTTTATCATTTCAAAAAACCAGCTCTTTGTTTCATTGATCCTTTGAATTGTTTTTTTGGTCTCTATGTCATTTATTTCTGCTCTGATCTTTACTATTTCCTTCCTTCTACTTGCTCTGGGGTTTTCTTTTTGTTTGCTTTCTAATTCTTTAAGTTGTGAGGTTAGACAGTTAATTAGAAATTTTTCTTGTTTCTTGAGGTAGGCCTGTGGTGCTATGAACTTCCTTCTCAGAACTGTTTTCGCTGCATCCCATAGATTTTGTGTTGTTGTGTGTTCATTTTCATTGGTTTCCAGGAAGTTTTTAATTTCTTCCTTGATCTCCTCCGTAACCCATTCATTGTTTAATAACATGCTATTTAGCCTCCATGTGTTGAAATGTCTTTGCATGTTCTTGTTGCAATTGATTTCTAGTTTCATGCCATTGTGATCTGAGAAGATGCTTGATATGATTTCAATCTTCTTGAACTTGTAGAGATTTAGTTTGTGTCCTATCATGTGGTCTATCTTTGAGAATGTCCCATGTGCACTTGAGAAGAATGTGTATTCTGTAGTTTTGGGGTGTAATTCTCTGTAGATATCTATTAAACCCATTTGGTCTAGTGCTTCATTTAGAGTCTCTGTTTCCTTGCTAATTTTTTGTCTAGAGGATCTATCCAGTGGTGTCAATGGGGTGTTGAAATCCCCTGCTATGATTGTATTGCTGTCAATTTCTCCTTGGAAGTCCTCCAGAAGATTTTTAATATATTTTGGTGCTCCTGTATTGGGTGCATATATGTTTATCAAGTTATATCTTCCTGTTGGATAGACCCTTTCAATATTATGTAGTGGCCTCTTTGTCTCTAGTTATGGCCTTCATTGTGAAATCTATTTTATCAGATATGAGTATTGCTACCCCAGCTTTTTTTTGCTTTCCATTTGCTTGGAAAATTTTTTTCCACCCCTTCACTTTCAACCTATGTGTGTCTTTTGTTGTCAGGTGTGTCTCTTGTAAACAACATATAGATGAGTCATGCTTTCTTATCCAATCAGCTACTCTGTCTTTTTATGGGAGCATTCACTCCATTTACATTTAAGGTGATTATTGATATGTACTTATTTATTGCCATTTTTGTTTAGCGTGGTTCTATTTTTCTTCCCATTTCTCCTGCTAATTACAGCAGTCCTTTTAACATTTCTTGGAGTACTGGTTTAGTGCTAATGTATTCCCTTAGCCTTTTTGTTTTTTTTTTTTTTTTTTTTTGTCTGGGAAGCTTTTTATTTGCCCTTCTATTTTGAATGATAGCCTTGCTAGGTAGAGTAGTCTTGGATTCAGGTCCTTGTTTTTCATGACCTTGATGACTTCATGCCATTCCCTTCTGGCCTGTAGTGTTTTT